TCCTCTAAACGTGTCTAACACACCACAATACTCATCCTGTACACGTGTCTAACACACCACAATACTCATCCTCTAATCATGTCTAACACACCACAATACTCATTGTCTAAATGTGTCTAACACACCACAATACCCATCCTCTAAAAGTATCTAACACACCACAATACTCATCCCGTACACGTGTCTAACACACCTTAATCAATATTGAAAATCACAATAAAAATCGTATTAATACTGAAAGTTGTAATAGGAACCATATTAATGCTGTAAATAATAGTAGAAATGTTAATAATGTTTAAATCCTTGTAGAAACCTTGCAACTGTAAAAAAACTTACATTAAAATTTACAGTAGGGTACACAGTGATGTGGATTTGTCTACAGGAAGAGGTTGAATTCATTTGTAACTTTGCATATTACAAAGTAAATTTTGTAAAGTAAAAGTTAATATCGAGACCTGCACAGGTTTTTAGTGTTGTTGTTGTTGATATTTGAGCCCATTTTTAGTTTATAAACAGGTCACAGCAAGGGTTTTGATATTACAGCTTGATCAACTATTTCTTGAAGATTTTGGAATGCTTCCTGAAAAGATGTTTCTTAAATTTGATAGACAACCAGTGGCAGCTGCTAGTTTAGCTCAAGTACACAAAGCAGTAACATACGAAGGGGATGAAGTGGCTGTAAAGGTATACTTTTAATATGAAATAAAAATAAGTTTTTTTCATGGGATACAATGCATTATTTCATTCACTTGTATTAGGAATATGCAACTATCACATCCACACACACATATATATATAGTATATTCTTTTATAAAGTATTAAAAGAAAACATGGTTATATGAATATCTGGTGATTAACAGTTTATTCTAAAACATTATAGTCAGCAAATACATTAAAAATGGGTCTTGAAAATTGGAGGAAGAATGTGTGTATGTGCGTGTATATATATTGTTTTTTATTGTTTTTTTAACAGGAAATTAAAGTTCCATGTGTCTTAAAAATATAATATAATACTGATAATATTTTATTGCGCCACAGGTTCAATACATAGACCTACAACAGAGATTCTCTGGAGACTGTAGAACTGTTGAGTTTTTGTTGAAAATTATTGGACTCATGCATCCAAATTTTAATTTCACGTGGGTTATGGATGTAAGTATTTTTTAATAACATAACATTAAAGGACAATAAGATACCTTTTGGTTCATCTAGACTATCCTATCCATTAATTAAACTAAACCAAAAAAAAATATTTTCACAGGCATTACATAATTATGAATTTTATTAGGTGATTAAATTAGATTTGGTGAATAACTTTATCACAAAAATGTGTTTTTTTAAGCAATTATAAGTGACATTTCAGCCCATAGGAACAGGCCATCTTAAGGTAATATGTGATTAACAACAATTAGAAATCCAAAGTAACCTTATATTTGAATCCATAATTGGAACATTATTAAGTTAATTTATGATTAAAGACATTATAAATCCAATGTAACCTTATCTTTGAATCCATAATTGGAACATTATTAAGTTAATTTATGATGAAAGACATTATAAATCCAATAACCTTATCTTTGAATCCATAATTGAAACATTACATGAAAGTGGCTTGCTCCTATGGGCTTAAATCTTAGTTTTAATTGCTTACAAAAATTTTGACAATAAAGTTGTTCATGTATATACAGTTCTAGATGCTTCTCAATTCCTGAAAAACATTATCTCCTGGTAAATGTTAATAGTTTACTGTATTGTGAAAAATCAAACTATTACGTTCTTTAGTTCTTAGACTTAATTTATTGTTTATTTTAAGAGTAATAAAATTGTTACTGATCCTGCAAAAATAAATTAACGATACACCGTAAAAGAAGTTCTTCATGTTTTCAGATTTACATCACAGTGACCACTTAATGAAAGTAATGAAGTTTTAAAATATACAAGATGTTCATTGTATACAGAAGGTTGTTTCTCTAGAGTACAGAATGTTTTCACAGATGTGAACTTGTTTCTATAAAATAGATTCTGAAAAGTTAAATCAGCAATTATCCATGGTTCTTGAATGTTCGTATCAAAGAAACAGTCAATATCTACTTCAACCATTGTAATCATAGTTTATATTTTAACATATGTATGTATTACATTGTTATAACAGTTTGTAGTATGTTCGTATGAAAGAAACAGTCAATATCTACTTCAAACCATTGTAATCATAGCTTATATTGT